TTCTAGAATTCATTATTTACTTGATCAAGATGATAAATATCTTTCCATAAATCATGTACTTCATTTTCATATGTTGAAAGAATATTTTGTTCTTTTAAATCATAATCTCCGAAATTAAAATCACCAATAAGCATATAATTATTTGTTTTCATTTTTTTAAAAAGATTTTCTAATGCTTGACAACGTTTTTCATTTCCATTATGAGAACGATCATTGTGTAAATGAAGATTAACAAGATCAATTGTTATTTTAGTATTTAAATCAAATCGAGCTATGATTAATTCTTTTGTTATTGTCTTATTACCATCATCTGAAATTTCAAGTGGACATATTGAAAATGATCGTGGTCGAAAATTTTTCATCATCATTAATTGTCCATAAGATTTATCTTGATCACTATTAATAACATTTTTCATCATAATAATATAATAATTATTTTCTTGTAACCATATTTCATTTAGCAGAAGATTAAGAAAATTCATAGTTACTTCTTGTAAACAAATAATATCAGGTAAAAGTGATTTAAGTGTATCAAGTATTGATCGATATCGTTGAGAATTATAAATAAGTGTTGATTGATAATGATCAAGTAAAATATTCCATGTGACAAAATGACATCGTTCAGGAAGATATGTTTCATTTGTTGATAGTATTTTAGAATCATCTGATGTTAATGATATATGTGGACATTCAATCCATTGCTGAAATGATTGATCAAAACGATAGAGTCCTTGTACAAGAGCTGATTTTTGTCCGTTACCTGTAAATAAGAAACAAGAAAATAGAATCAACACTGACAATGTCAAGTCGTGTAATGTAGACTTAAAAGATTGATTATATTCGGGTTAAATAAATGCTTTCACCATGAGCGGCCCAATGTGGACATGGATCAGATTCAAAATATTCACAGTGTAAATGTGTCATATTTTTCTTTGCTTAGATAATTCGCCAAACTCTATTGATTCATTTGAATATGACACTCCGTGTCTAAAGTGATGACGTGTGACTGAATTTCTATTCCTTAGGTGTTGGTGACTCTTTCTGAATTCATATATATTTCAATCCTCTAATTTACTATTAGATGTAAAATATTTTATTTATTACCATTAGATGTTCCATTTAGTTGATCACTACCCGTTAGAATGTCTAACTTTTTTGTTCGATCCCATACAATTTGTCCATTAATTTTAAAATACCGAACACGATGCATTGGAATACCATGCTACAAAAACAAAAAACGAATTGATATATTTCGTTGTCTGTTTCAGTAATAATAATGATATTACCTCATGATTCTCAACTTTTTTAAATTCATTAAATGAAATTTCATGTACGCCTGTAAAACGATCTTCATAGCCAATTATAACTTGTGATCGATCAATTGTTTTATCATGTAATATTCGATTAAATATTAAATCACTACCACGAAATTTATTTAACATTGTTGACATATCTTCAGATGATTTTTTATCTTTTTGTTTTGATTTTTCAGTGTTTATTGTCATTTTTAATAAATAATCTTGAATTAATTGAATAATTGATTGAAGTGAAGTTGTTTCAGTTGGTTTACAAATAAGTTCATCAAAATATTTTCGAATATTTGTCCATTGATCATTATTTAATGGACATTTATTTGATATTTTAATAATACGTAAGTCATGTACATTATTAATATTTAATGATTTATTTAAATTAATAAGTGAATCAAAGAAAAAACTTATTTGTATATCATAATCAAGTTTAATTCGAACTTGTTCATAATCTCCTGATGGTTGAATTTGAAGATGATCATCTGAACGTAAAATTGAACGAAGAGAATTCAATTGATCTGTTATTGTTGTTGTTGTTGTGTTGTCATCCATGGTTATATAGATTGATAACTATATTATAAAATTGTTTTGTTCTCCTATCAAGGTAAGAACGAATAACATGTTTATGTTCCATGCTTATTTTATATAAGG